TGGAGGCGCCCCGGCCCGGCCCGAGGCTCGAGGCGGGCCCGCATCCACGAGGGGCGGCGGGGCAGGAAGAGGCTCGCCCGCTCCGGCAAACGGGCTCCGGGTCCCCGGAGGGAGCTTCCCCCCGCCCGGGAGGAAGACGGAGGAAACTGGAATTAGCATGAGCCAATGGGGGCGAGGCGCTGTTACTAGGCGGGCCGGGCAGATCTCGACGAGGAACTTCGTGGAGTCCCTGGCTCAGGGACGGGCGCAAAAGTGCAAGCCCGGCCGACGAGCGTGAAGAGCCGTCCAGGAACCGGCGGGGGAGGCGCTGGGATTCGGGGCCCGGCGAGGAGTGCCAGCCGCCCAGCCCCCACCGCGGGGAACCCTGCTTGGCGGTCCCCGGAGTCCCCGAGGGAGCCAACAGCCCCGGGCCCTTGGGGGCCATTGCTTCAAGAAGCGCAGAGGAAGTATTTTGATTTTGATTTTGATTTTTTTCTTCCAAAGAGAAAAGTAACTCGTAAAAACTTTTCTTTTGCAGTTTTAACTTTGCACTGTCTTTTTAAAACCCACCCCGAAGCAGGAACTGCGAGGTCTGGGCTCATTTAAAGTGCTCTGCGCTTATTTCTTGGTGACCATTGGAGACAAAGGGCCAGTGGCCCAGTCGGAGGGGAAACTGCATTGGTAGAAAAGAGCATCCCAAAGTAACTTAAGTCACTCTCCTGGCCCCTCGGCCCCCGCCCCGAAGGCCGCGGCGGGAGCGGGCGGTCGGCCCCCGCGGGTGAATTCCGCCGCCGGCGCGCGTTTGCCACCGTCCCTGGCTGTGGGAACCTCCGTTCGGGCGGGGGCAGGGCGCGCGTTCATTCAGGAACCGGCGCGACGCAGCGCAGACCCCAGGACGCACGGCGACTGCGCGCCGCTCGGCGGGGGGCTCTGCGGAGCGNGCAGCCGCATACCTGGCGGCGACTTGAAAGGACTTGGCTCCTGCTCTGCGTGTTTTCCATTTTTAAGTACTTAAGTCGCCAGGGAAAACGCTTCCGAATGCGGGCCCCCGGGTTCCGGGGACACACGGCCTTCCCTTCCCCCACACTGCACGCTTTTGGGGCGCGCTCGATGGCTCATGTGCTGCGCCAGCTCCGCCCAGGCTACGTGGTGCCTACCCCGGCTGCCCCAAAGGTGCGGACTCTCCGGGGCGAAGTCGGCCCCGGTGCCCACCCGGGACAGCCACACGCTAGGAACACGGGCGGCCGCACCCCCCAGCGCCCCACGCCGCGGACGTGTGTTTCCGCCTGTGGTCAGTTAATTTCAGCCACGCACAGACGGCTCCGCGCCCCCCCCCGACCCCCAGCGCCCCTGTCGTCTGCCCGGCAGCTGCGGGGAAGGGGCGCCCCTCCCCCAGCTCTGAAGGCTGCGGGCGAGGGGGGCGCGGGAGTTAAAAAGCAAACCCAGCAGGAAGGGGGGCCCTGCCTCCAGGGACGCATCTGGAGTCCCGAGGGTGAAGGTGCGGCTTGTGCGGTTGAAAAAAGCTGGGAACTCCTCGACGCCCACCCCTCCAAACCATCGCCCGGTGCCCTGGGCAATAGGAACCCCAAAGTCCGCTAGGAACTCCCCGGCCTTCCGGCTCCGGCCTCCGGCTGGTCTCTGACCAAGCGGTGGGGAGTGGGCGCCCAGGTGGAGAAACCCA